TCCCTCTTGCCTTCCCTGGAATTTCTTCATGCTTCCGCCCTCCCCCCCCCAGTTTGGGAACCCATGCTCTAGAGTCCTTCATACTTATACTTGCACCTATTTTACACAATACCAAAATTTGTATATCTGAATTAGGTCCATTGGTTACAATCCTGCTCCTACTGAAATCAACTGCAGAACTCCCAATGACTGTAAACAACAGCTTGACTTAACTCCAGCATGAACAACACACTCTAGTAATTTATCTGAATAATGATCCCATTTGGAGATTAGATACATTCAACAATATTTCAGATGGAATGCAGAAACACAAAAATGAGTGACAGTTATACAATTTTTTGCTATTCTTGCTTTCAATTATAATCAGGTGTAGTATTTTGCAGTGATCTTCCATCTAATCAATAAATGTTCTGATGCTACAGAGGATTACTGTATCTGCTGTCAAGTTGCAGGTAAATATGGCAGGTCACACAAAATGAAGATAAGAAAACAACCAAGTGGGAAGAAAGTGAGGAACAGTGCCATCAGTTAAACACAACAATAGATTCAGTAGTAATCTTAGTTTTGAAAACTAAATATTTTGCAGGTTATCCTGTTTTTCAAAATGCAATAGATGCACTACAGATCAAAGAGCAAACATTCTGAAAGCATAGCTTCCTGCCTGTGGGTGGAGTGGCTGCATCATGTTATACAGCTAGTACAGAGAGCAGTTTAAAAATATTCTTAGAACGGTACTTGTGCTCAAGGCTGGCAAATTGGCTAGACCACAGCACTAGAATTTGAGTACTGTATTTAAGTAGGTGGGAGTGGGCTGCTGTCCTCCTCCCCCATTTGTGGTCTTCTCCCACCATCATCTTTGTGCTGGCTTCAGTGATGTTCTTTTCCCATGTTCCTCCCTCAGTTGGTCTGTAAGGTCAGTTCCCTATTAAGAGGCAACTGATATTTATTTATAAAATGAACAATACATTTAATGCATTTACAAATGTACATTTTGACTGTTTCTTTATTCCAAGGGGAGCCAACAGTCTCAGTGGACTCCTAAGTAAGATGGGGGGAGGCAGCTAAGCACCCCTGGAAACATGTATCACGCCAGCCCCACACCAGGCATCAGAGCCACTGGAATGTGTGGTGAGGTGTTTGGAAGGCAATTTAAAGGGCCTGGGGCTCCAGCCAATGCTGCTGTCATAGTAGCAGCAGAAACAGCTAGGAGACTTGGGTCCCTCTGAACTGCTGGGTCTCGGGACAATTGTACCCTTTAGTCCCCTTCCCCTACTAGCAGGCCTGTTTGTTCCTAACTTTTGTGTACTGCTTGTCTTAGCATATGATGGGCACTACTGGAAAGTAAATAATAAAAGCAGTCATTCCGCCACTGACACATAGAAGGTGAATGGCTCAGATACTTGTGCTAGTCTCTACTGATTCAGTATGAGGGCAGATGGGGCATGTGAATGTCAGGGAGCTGGTTATGGTTCCCTGCTCATAAGTCTAATTTCATACCAGCCTTGAGGGAGTTTAAGTGTCATTCACATACTTTCTCGGGAATGATTTTGTGTTTTCTTCCAGGTCATTGATAAACATATTAAATACTGCAGAACAAAACTCAAGTTCATGTGAGACCCCCACTTAATGCTGACGCCCAGTTTACACTGCATTTTGAGGCCTATATAAGTTAGCCAATTTTTAATTGATGTAATGTGTACCATGTTAATTTTGTATCATTCTAGTTTTCTTAATCAAAATATTATACGGTATCATGTCAAATGCCTTGCAGAAGTATATTACATCAACACTACAGGTTGAAGCCCCTGGTCCAGTACCCTCAGGACCTACCTTGGCCCAGATGAGGGATTTTGCCACATCAGGAAATCAATTCTTGCCCCCCTGCTGCCAGCCCCACTCCCTGCCCTCCCACCAAGCTTCCTGACTCCTGGATTCCTCGGCCTAGCTGAGCCATGTGCTGGCCCCCATCCCTGTCGCAGCCCAGATGAGCCGTGTGTCAGCCCCCCCCCCCCGCTCTCCCACACCCCAGCTGAGCTGCGCAGCAGGTTTCCCAGCTCTCACCCTCCCCTTCCCTCGCAGCCCAGCAGGGCTGCATGTCACACCTCAGCCCCTTGCAGTGTGCCGGGTTCTTGACCCTCCTCCCAGTGTGTTGGGACACTTTGGTTCTTGGACACCCATGGTCCTGCTGGATTATGGATGCTGCCGGACTAGAGAGTTCTGGTTTATAGAGGTGCAACTTGTATTATCCTAATTTACGTAAACCTGCAATCTCATAATAAAGAGATATCAAAATATTTTACAGGATCTG